TTATGAAAAAAAAAAAAAAAAAAACCCCATTAGCCTGACCCCTGTTAACCATGCCCCAACCCCCATTAGCCACACCCCCGTGTCGTTCGTCCCATCCCCCCCTGTTAGCCAGGCCTCTGGAGGTGACATGCTCAGAGCAAGATGGACACATGACCAGAAGTAAAAGGTGTCATGTCACCCCTCTTGAAGGACTTTTCCCACCATCCTCCTACCAACGGGTTAGTTTGGCTCCCACCAAACCCCACTCATGCAACTATCCTGTAATTGCATTAACCCAATGTGTGCGACATTAACTTGGGGGCGGAGAGGCTGGGGGAAGTGTTCCCTCTAAGGCTATGTCTACACTCGGGGCTTCTTGCACAAGTACAGCCATTCTTACACAAGAATGTGCAGAGCATCCACACTGCCCGCCTGCTCTTGTGCAAGGAAATTTACAATACGGTGTAAGAGAGGGCGCCTTTTCCGGAAGATCCCTTATTCCTACTTTCAAGGATTTATTTTCCGCAAGATCCCATCTAGACTGGCACTTTTCTCCGGCAAAACCCCGAGTCGGAAAAAAGCGGCAGCCATGTTCATGCAAATGCCGTGGGGGATATTTAAATCCCCCTCGGCATTTGCAATTCTGAAGTGTGTCATTAGCATCCCTTTTCCGGAAAAGGGTGCCAATGCAGACACAGCCCTACTGGCAAAAAGCTCTCGTATAGATACAGTTATACTGGGATAGAAGTCCCTTTCTTTTTTGCCTATTATAGCTTATTTTGTTCAGGGAACTGGTACAAGCTATACTAACAAAAGGACTCTTTGGCAGTATAAGTTACATCTCTAGGCTGGGAGTAGTGTCACACTGAAAGACAGAACTATTCAGCTTCACAAAGGGAGTTGGGAAGGGGTTGTGTGGTCTATAAATATGGTACTTACACACCAGAGCAGCTCTAAGAGCTCTCATGTAGCAGAGAAAAGCAAGAGATCTGGCTGGGAGCAGAAATGAGAGAAATTCAGATGCAAATTTTTACCAACTAACCATTGGAACATGTGACCGGGGGATGTGGTGGATGCTGTATGGCTTGGAGTCGGTAAATCAAGACCAAATGGCTCTTCTAAAGTGCACACACCGCTCCATTGGGCTCGTGGGCCTGATGCAGGGATCAGTGGGTGACTTTTTTTCTTTATTTTCAAACAAACTAAGTTTTTGAGGATTTTCAACATTTTTGTTTTGGCTTTTAGATTAAATTTGTTTAAGACTGGGTGTGGTGATTTTGGTTTCGTTTTGTTTTTTCTACCAGAAAATTTGTGAGGTTTTTTTGGGGAGGGGGCGTGAGGGAGGAATAGTGTTTGGAAAAAGCGGGTTGGGAAAAAGTGATTTTTTTCAGTGGCTTTCAGAACATTTTACAGTTTTAAAGTAGCTCTTGGAAGAAAAAATATTTTAAAAATAGGTTTTGGCAGAAATATGTATATACTTTGACAAAAAATATTTGGGAGCTTCAGTATGTTTTTGGCAGAATGTTTTGTGTGTTTTGGTGGTTTTCATAAAAAATGTTGGTGGTTTTGCCCCCGTTTTTGACATTTTTCCATTGTTTGCAGTGTTGTAGCCATATTGGTCTCAAATATTAGTGGGACAAGGTGGGGAAGGTAATAGCTTTTATTGGACCAACTTCTGTTGGTGAAAAAGACATGTTTTCAGCTTTGTGTAAGCTGTATTACCTTACTCACCTTGTCTCTCAAATTTTCCATTGACATTTTTGACCAAACAAAACTGTTTTTTTGTCTTCACCTAAACTTCATCGGGGGTGGAGGAAATCCATTTTCAATGAGCTCTGATGGTGTCTTTTCTCCTCACTGGGGTCTACTTGCAAAAAACACTTAGCCCCTCCGGCTGTCATGTAGTGGGGGAAACTTGGGCTGGGGCCTGGGACATTGGAAGAGGAGTGTAACGTTAGAGTAGCAATGGGGTTGCTCTTGTTCTATTCTATATAAATTCATCACTGTGATATCTGGGTACTTTCCAGTCATTCATTGAGCAGCATGACTACATATCTGTCATGTAGGGTTTCTCCTTCTTGTTACACCTTGGTTCGGTGATGTGGTAGAAGCCTCAAGGGTTAAAGCCGATTACCTAGTGAAAACTACTGGATGATGGTGTAAAACAAATGATCTTTATTAAGTGGAATGATTCTTTTATCAAAACCAACAATTAGAAAATGGTCTTTTTAACTAACAATTGCCTAATGCTTTTACAGGGTAGAAAACTTGAACACAACTATACCTAACTGATTACAATTCCTAGATTACAATTTACTCATATTAAATCACTGACTCTAATTTGCTTAACAAAAATACAAAAACAAAGACAATATAATGATAATAAAAACTCTGTCTAAAGCCGGCCTCTCTATGGTTATTTTAGGGCAGCTGGTGGAGTTAGTCATAAATCTACTTTTACAACTTAACAACTCCTGGACTTCTATTTCTAACACTTATACTTAACTTAAATACAGCACTACTATACAACACAAAATTATACGATTTACAGGCAGTCCCCGGGTTACGTACAAGATAGGGACTGTAGGTTTGTTCTTAAGTTGAATCTGTATGTAAGTCGGAACTGGCGTCCAGATTCAGACACTGCTGAAACTGACCGCCAGTTCTGACTTACATACAGAATCAACTTAAGAACCCCAGGCGTCCCCAAGTCAGCTGCTGCTGAAACTGATCAGCAGCTGATTCCAGGAAGCCCGGGGCAGAGCAACTCTGCTGGCACCGGAGCAGCGAGAAAGCCCCGTTCGTAAGTGCGGATCCGACGTAAGTCGGATCCGCGTAAGTCGGGGACTGCCTGTATATGCAATAACATGTCACTTACTTTTGAGATATTTTCTGCAATCTGGTAGCTAAATATTTATTTAGTTTTAATTTATTTATTCTTCTTTGAAAACCATGTTCTTTCGAAATCAGTTCACCTTATCGATAATTTTAAGTTCTGCTAGTGATTAAATTTGTATCTAGTTAAAGGGATGGGGACCTATGGCCCAGCATGCGGCATGTCTTGATCCGGCCCACGAGGCTTGGGCTCTCTCTTCCCACAACAGAGCAAGCCAGAGCTGGCTTGTCCTGCTATGGAGTCCGGAATCCCAAGCGTAACAGGCTGGATCAATGCAAGTTACAGGCTGCATCGGGCCCACGGGCTCTGCCTAGCAGGGGAGAGGAAGTGGTTCTTCATTCTGATGTCATCCCCTACTCCCTCTGGCTGGGGAAATGGCAGCTCAGAGAAGCTCTGGTCATGTGCTCACATGCGGTTCTACCACAGGGGAATGGTCAGAGGCCATCTGGGGGACCACCAGCCATGCAACTCCTCCCCCAACACAGGGAAGGGTCAGGACCATTCCTCTTCACCTCTGCTCTACTCTTCCCTCTCTTGCGCTGTCCTCTCCCTGCCTCTCCTCTTCCCCCCAACCAAAGCAGCGCCGTGGACCAGCAGGGCTGGTGTCAGCAGTAAAGGTCCAGTCCCCCGCCCTCCTCTGCACTCGTCAGCAGAAGCAGGGGAAGTGGAACAAGGTAGCCCCAGCTGCTTTTCTCTCCCAACTACATCCATTTTCTGCTGGAAAGTGTGGGACAATCCTGCCTTCTTCCCTGGAGCAGTGTGCTGGGAGAGCAAAGCATCTGGGGCCATCTTGTTCTGTTTCATGCACCGGCAGTGAACGTGGAGAGCTGGACACCCTTCCTCAGGCTGGCCGACCTGCCAGCCCTTCCCACCCTCGGTATTTGAGGCATGTGACCCCTTATGCTCCTACATTGCCCCTGCTTTCTATCCCCATTGCTCCCATTGGCTGGTAAGCACAGCCAATGGGCGCAGCAGGGGGGTGGTGCCTGTAAGTGCAAGGCGATGCAGAGCCACCTGCACCTCCCCACCCTGGGAGCTGCACCAGGTGGGTGCCTCAAACATTTGTCCCTTCCCCCCCCTAGAAACACTACTATACAACACAAGATTATACAATTTATACAATGTGGTTAACAGAACTTAGATACATTTTACAGAATTACACAGTGAAATTAACACAATATAACTATTAATTAAACCAATAACTAATACATTTAAGCAATACTTACAAATCCAGCAACGATAATAACACAAAGACACACTAGAACTCGGAGCATGCTCAGGACTCGTGCACCCCTATATTTGACTCGAAGGGTGGGGAGGCAGCCTCAGGGTGATCAGTCCTTTAGCCGGGCAAAAATAAAGACACGTGCCCTCAATACACGGAACCTCCGTCGAACAAAGGGATTGAGGGTCTTTTATAACATA